TAATAATAATCATTTTACTCGCAGATATACGTCCCAGAATGCCCTAAGCCAAAATTAAAAAAACTAACTGAAATCATCTTTTTTGGATTTAAAAATAAACTAAATTTGAAAATTTCATATGTATGAAACGATAGGAAACACGGTGAGAGTTTCCCAAAATTTAATTTTTAATGTAAAAAATTTTTTATTAGCAAAAAAAAAAATTTGTTTATTATCATCTGTAGGTAAGTCAACGACAAACCATTTATAATTTGGTAAACTCGAAAAACTTAATTTCGCTTGTTGATATCCCTATCTGAAATTTTATTTTGTCTGCTATTCGCTAACTTCAGAGTCGTATAAATTTATTAAAAATTTTTAATATATGTTTATCTAATTTATATTAATTAATGTGAAATTGATTTTAATTTTTTTTCTCTTTTTTAATTGTAATGAAAAATTATTTTTTTTTGCCTTTTCAATTTTTATACTTATTTAAAAATATGTATTTTTAATGTAAAATTCAATATTACACTCATCAAAAATAATTAATTCAAAAGAGAAATATTAAAAATAATTCGACTTTTAAAATTGAAAAATTTACATTTTTGTTCTTTAAAAAATTTACAGTAATTACCCTAATTAATATTCATCAGTTATTCCAATTTTAACTAGCGCTTGTGCAAATATATGTAAGTACATAAGTATGTGCAAGTAAAGTACACATGCATATGTATTTATGAATATACATATATGAGTACACTCATAATATATTTATTATCTATATATAGTATAGTAATTGCAAAGTAAAAATGGCGGCGATAGATATCGAGCGTATGAAAGTGAGTAGTTAAATAATTTATCTAGTAAAAACAGTAATTAACCATAATTTATTTTTTTTTTTTTCACCTGTTTAATATTATTAACAATCGTTTGTTTTAGAATAATTAACTTGTAAATATTATTTGAAATTAAAACAATGATAATTTAATCAATGGGCGTTGGTTTTTATTTTTATTAAGATAAATATTTTGATTATCAATTATTATTGTTGTATTATCACATTATAATACATTACTAAGTATGGAGTAATTATTGTTTTTATTTGTTTAAGAACTTTAAGTTCTATAATATAATTGTTTGTTTTCAGATGGAAACTTCAATACGTAACCTAAAGCTGTCAGACCATGTTGGATTCGACAGTTTACCGGATCAACTTGTCAATAAATCTGTACAAAATGGATTTTTATTCAATATTTTGTGCATTGGTACGTGATATTAATTATTTATTATTATTTACTCATTTATTAAATGGTTAATTTAATCGAAGTAAACTAAAAAATTTAATAAAATTAAAGGTGAGACGGGATTGGGAAAATCAACGCTAATGGATTCGTTGTTCAACACCAACTTTGAATCAAATCCAAGCCCCCATAATTTGCCAGCTGTTAAATTAAAATCCAATACTTACGAGCTCCAGGAGGGCAACGTGAGGCTAAAGTTGACTCTGGTGGACACTGTCGGATACGGAGATCAAATAAACAAGGAAGACAGCTTTAAAGCCGTTGTTGATTACATCGACGCTCAGTTTGAAGCCTATTTACAAGAGGAGCTTAAAATAAAAAGATCACTCTCGACTTATCACGATAGCCGTATTCATGTTTGTCTTTATTTTATTTGTCCAACTGGTCATGGGTAATTATCATTATTTTTCTTTGAACTCACAAAAAAATAATTTAAAAAACCTTTTTTTAATTTTTTATTATTAAAATTTCAGGCTCAAATCGATTGATTTAGTATGCATGAAGAAATTGGACACTAAGGTTAACATAATCCCGATAATTGCTAAAGCTGACACTATTTCAAAGACTGAATTACAGAAATTTAAGGTAATTAATTAATAAAACTACATCTTTTAAATTATTAAATTTAAAAATATAAGAAAAAAAAAACTTAGCCACTGGTATTATAATAATTAATAATATAAGTAATTAAATAATGACTGACTACGCCTAGTAGATTTTGCTATTTACTTGTATATGACTTAAAATTAAAGACAAATTTTTTTATATGGATATACTGGTATAATTTAACATTATGGTTAGCCAATAAGTATTAGTAGATGTAATAAACTATTGTATTGAAAATACATCTTAGATTTTTTAATTAATATGATTAATTAAATGGCTAATTTTGACTTTCAGGGTAAAATAATGTCGGAGCTGCAGAATAACGGAGTGCATATTTATCAATTTCCAACAGACGACGAGAGTGTAACGGCGGTTAACTCATCAATGAACGGATTGCTGCCGTTTGCGGTGGTGGGTAGTACGGAATTCGTACGTGTTGGGAATAAAATGATGCGGTCACGTCAGTATCCTTGGGGTACTGTCCAGGTTGAAAATGAATCGCACTGTGATTTTGTTAAATTACGTGAAATGCTTATCAGAACGAATATGGAAGACATGCGTGAAAAAACTCACTGTCGTCATTATGAGCTTTATCGCAAAAAACGTTTGGAACAGGTACAAATTTATTCATTAATTTTTTTTTTTTTAAGCATTATTATCATTATCAATTTATATTCTTTTAAATCATTTTTTTGAACATTTTTAGATGGGATTCAGTGATGTTGATCATGATAACAAGCCAATAAGCTTCCAACAAACATGTGAGTCTATGAGAACAGCGCATTTGCAAGAGCTACAGCAAAAAGAAGATGAAATGCGTCAAATGTTTGTCGCACGTGTTAAGGAAAAGGAATCTGAATTGAAAGACGCTGAAAAAGAAGTAAAAATTATTGTTATTACTCTTATATTTATCCTATGGATCATATTTTACTTTTTACTAATAAATAATTTTTTTTCATGTTATAGCTGCACAATAAATTTGATAAATTGAAAAAAGATCACATGGACGAGAAGAAAAAATTAGAAGAGAGTCGTAAAAAATTGGAAGACGATATCTCTGAATTCAACCGACGCAAAATCCAAATAAATCAGTCCCACCACACACTGACTCTCGGTAAAAGTAAAAAGAAATAAGAAAAATAATAAACATAAATTACTTTCATTCCACGCTATTATTCTTTATCATTAATAACATTGTTTTGTACTTGATCTTTTGATAATGACTTTATATTTTAAATAATAATAATCGCTCTCTTTATTTTACAGTGAATAAAATAAACGAGTTTTATTTATTGAAAAAACATTAATAAATTTTTTAATGACAATTTTTATTAATCAACAGAAAATAATATAACAAATATTTTAATAAACTTATCTCATGTAAATTAGAATGTACTATACATTGATATTTATAAATAAACTATAAACATTAGAAGTTATTAATATTAATTATTTATTAATTAAATGGCCAAATTGAAGATACTGATTTTAATTAATGATATTAATTAATACAATAATTAAATTATTGATTATTGATTATCGATGACAAAAATTATATTGTTAATAATAAAGTAAATCAAAATACAATTATTATATTTAACGTAATTAGCCTCAACGTGCAGACATAACTTTTTTAAAAATTCTTAGCTTTGGTATTTCCTTAAACACTTTTTTCCTGCATTTCTGAAAAATTTTTATCAATTATATACAACTACATAAATTAATAAATAACTTTTATTATTGCTAGCATTGATGTTACTATTAATTATAACCATAATTATTATTATTATTATTATAAATACGTATAAAATGAATTACTAAATTCTAGCTCTAATTCGTTTTTTATAAAAGTACAAAAGCTAAATGTAAGCTATTAATATATTTATATATAAATATATCTAAAAATTGTACTGATTGCATTTATTTGTGTGCAAATAAATCGCTTTTAAGCGAGAAATTTGAATATTACGTGCCTTTTTATTGATATCAATTTATTAATTTCAAAAGAATTCTTTTTAAATACTAATATCTAACATTTTTATATTGAATTTTCTAAGAAAAAATTTTCTTAAAAAAAATTGCTATTCACCAGTAAAAAATTAGATAAATTCACGTATTGGAATTCACCAAATTTTTAAAAAAGATGAATAGAAGTGTCAAAAAAAATTACTATCACATTTATGTAAACAATTCAGATTGAGCAATTATCAAGACACATGTATTTATGACTAATTAATAACTACAATTAAAGTATGTTAGAGACAAAAAAAATATTGCTCTTATACATAGAAAATTGGATCTTTCTATAGATGTATAGATTTAATTTTAAATGTAAAATCCGTCAACATGGACTATGGAAAAATATTTATAAATATAAATATTAAATATTGCGAGTATAATATATAAATATACTAATGTATATATATACTGTACTGATATATTAAAGTTAGGCAAATGTGAACTACATTGATTTGGACGTGCGAGATGATAATTGAGAGTTGATTAATTAATTAATTGGCTGATTAATTAATTAATATGCTGATGGTTTCTTGTTTCTTACATTATATAAAGCTGTTTGCATATATAATGAAGATACTATTAATGCCTAATAATAATATTGATAGTATTGATATTATTACTATTAATAATGGACCAATTGAGTATTGATTATTGATTAATTTAATGGTATTGATGTAGGCACTGTGCAATTAACGTCTTGAGATTGATTCTGTGGGTGAGCTGCGATATTTAGCACGTATGTGGAGAAAATTTGTGTGCTTGGCGGTTGTGTGAGGAGGCGGTGTGCTTTCACGGCTGAGGACCCTCACCTGACACGGGTCATGTCTTGACAAAAAGTGCTCCAGAGTATCCCATCCGCCGCCAACTCTTACCATCATGTGTCTTCCCTTAAGAAGCTAAAAATAAACATACTTTATAATAATAACAGTAAAAAAAAATAATAATATTTTTCTCTTCAACAAATATTCTAAGAGTTATTGTAATTTTTATAGTGTCTAGATGATGAAAACTACTATATCTTCTAAAATATTGATAGTAGCTCAATAGTATCAAACACGTTTTTGATAAAATTAATATTTCAGGATTTATAGACATTTTTAGAGTGACAATAATCTAATTTTATGTTAAAAAAAAAAAAAAAAAATCCCAAGTAGTCATTAAAAATGCAATTGGGTATAAAAATGAATTCTCATGCATCCTTGTTATTATTATTATTATTATTATAACTTTAATTAAAAAAAAGCACTTTACCCTAATGAAGACATTGCGCCCGGCAATGTTATACCGTCCCTCGCCGACTTTCCGTACTTTCAACTTGGAACACTTTTCGTTTGAACACTGACAAAGTCTATGAATAGCTTCTGCAGCCCGCCGTACCTTAAAAATTACAATACAATAAATTATTTAATGCTTGAAAGGTTTCAACGTTTTTGGAGAAGACAAGAAAAAAAAATAACTGTTAGTACAGGTGGATTTGAGATTAATTTTCCTGGCGACTGAGTATCCTCGTCGACAAACCGAACAAACTAAAAAAAATTATCGAAAAAATTTTGATTAATTTATTTTTAATTTTCAAATGAGCACCCGATGATGTTTTGGAATGAATAAAATGATATGTATAATTTAAAAGAAAAAAAAGATTGGTATGAATAATGAGTATGAGTTATGATTGATTTACTTTTCTGTCAAGTTCAGTAATTGGTCCAACATGTTCTGGTGGTTCTGCTGGTGACGGTGAGCTGACTGGGGACGGAAGCTCATCCGGATCTTCAGCGCTCCCGCGTGACCAATCGTCCTCAGTGGTGTCACTCGGTACTCCGTCGCTGCCAGTTGGTCCATTATCGCTCACTGAGCGACGCATTTCCGTCGGAGGCTCCAGTGGTGTCGTCGGTGGTATCGGATTAATCCACAAAGTCATCGTGGTAATTTCAGACGCCGAGCTGCACATAAAATATAATTAATTCATTCATTCATTCATTCATTCATTTTCTTCATCTTCTTTTATTTTTTACTTTTCACGGCAACTTAAATTTTTAATTAACTTTATAAATATAGTAATAAATTGCGCCTACATCCGCTTAAATTATATTTATAAATATAAACATAATTGGTATTAGTAATTGTCAATACCGCTCCTACTACTATATTTAATACTTTATACTTGATTACTGTGTACTGTGTTACACAAAATCTTTACTTGCTCTTTCTTGCATTACAGTACACTTTTATACTTATACGTTATTGTATACACACCCTTATTGTTGTTATTTCAAGAGTGCTTGTGTCCCGTGTCAAGCAGTTCATTCAGCCGATAACTATTTATGCCATTACCTTTTATTTTATATTATGCTTAGACTTCACTCCAATTTAGTTTTGTAATTTTCATTAAAAATAAAATAGCAACTTTTTTAAATTTTCAAGAGTTTTTTCAACAAGTAAATTATTTTAAACAATATAGAAAAAAAAATTTGATGTAAAAATTTTAGTAATTTTTTTTTTTTGTATAGAAAATTGGAAAGTTATAATTTTAAAACATTATTTTTTTTTTATTATTTTTCACGAAAAATCCACACCTATAATAATAAAAATTTTTTTTAATTAGTTTTAAAGCTTTCAATATTTATCACTATTTCAGTCGACCGAGTTTATTTAATTTTTTTTTTTTTTTAAATTGACACTTGAAAATTTTTTTTATTTTTAATTATTCTATTTTTGATGAAATTAAAAAGGAAAAAATTCCAAAAATCATTTATATGAATTGAAGTATTATAAATCGTGAAACTAAATAATAACCTAAATCTAAATTTCAAACAAAATTAAAGAAAGTTTTACGATTTCAAAAAAAAAAAAATCAAATTTCCCCAGAATTAAAGAAATTTTTATGATTGATTATATATTGTTAAAAAAAATCTTCAAAATAGTCAAAGTCTGCAACATCATAAAAAATTATACATTCTTATATTAAGTGACAACCCTTTGATATTGTAATTAAAAAGAATAAAAAAATAACCAACCAGCTATGTTTTATTTTTTCCTTGGGTGGTGGAGGTGAAGGAACCGGTGACGGGGGTTGATATTGCCATGAAACTAAACTGCTATGAGATATTCCGCTATCAGACATGCAATGTAATTCTCGTTCTTGCTCAGCAATTTCACGTTCCAATTGTACCAGTCCTGGTGGTTCTAAAGAATATTTCGAAGCTAATCGCGCTACTTCCAGTAAACACAGCACGACATTACGTGGCTGTCCATGAAGTACTAAAACAAATCAACGAGAACATAATTAATAAGCAATAATTATAAAATTAATAATATCATTAAATGACTGAACATTTAATATTTATTGAAGAATTCCTAGTACTTACCCAAATCATCGCTTTCGAACAATAAATTGTTATGCACACCCAACCGTCTGCAAAACTGGATGAAGTTTTCCATGTTGTCACGGGAAAAAAAGCTACGCCTGGCTGCATTTTCCCAACAACGGCCGCGGATTACTGGTACCGGCTATAAAAAAATAAATAATTATAATACAAATTATGTATATAAATATATATGTATATACTGTAATTTTTTAATATCATATGTAACAGTGTAATTAACATAATAATAACATAACACTTACTCCTTTGGCTAATCCAGCGTCAATAGCGGCACGAGCTTTTTCTTGAATAACTCGTGCTAATTTGCATACTATTACTCCATTATCTAGAGTATCGAAGAAATTATCGCCGGTTATATAATCCACGTCTGTAAAAAATTAAAAACAATTATTAATTAGTTCATAAATTTCAATTCATTTTCTTTTTAATGAAAGTATTTTGAAAGTTAAAAGTAAAAAAATATTTCTGCTTTTTAATAAATTTTTTTTCTAATCAAACCAAAAACGAAATTTTTTTATAACGACAAAAAAAATATTTGGAAAATCAACATATCGACAAAACATTTTTTTTAATTTTTCCATTTTTGAAACACAAGAAAAAAAAACACAAAAATGGTAAAAAATTCATACATCACTTAGAAATTTTTTGATCAAAAGTCAAAATTTACAAATTTTTCTAAAAAGTTTAAAGTTATAGGTCAATCAAATTTTTTAAAAATTTGTTTAGTTTTCATTTTTTTTTTTTTTTTGATTTATCAAATAAGAATATGTCTAACACCTTACAATTAGTTTTAAATGAAATTAAAAAAAAAAAAATTTCCATTTTCGATTTTTTAAGCCAAAAGAAATCGTCGAAATCTTTACCAAAACTTATAAAATTAATAATAGAAAAATTTTATGAAAAAAATTGAAATATTAGTAAGAAATAAAATATTGAACATCAAGGATTTCTTGAATGAATAAAAAAATTATTAAGACATTGTACATAAAAATCAATAAACTGTGATTATTCTCAAGATTTGAGAGTATGCGCGTGGTAAATGTTAAATAATAAAAATAATAAAAAGGACGTAGGAAGTTCGACATCAAAATTTGTATATTTAACAAAGACGTTTCTCGTATTTAGCAGAGTCTTATAATAATAAATCACTTTAGAGTATGTATGTATAATCTTATTAAGAAGTCATCAGTGAATACATAATAAAGGTTCTTGTACTTATAAGTCAAGACAGCTTTTTTTTATCTCCTTCTTTCGTACTCAATATAACATAATATAATGGCGAATTTTAAAAATGAACATTACATTACACGCAATAATCATAACTCGCTGACCTAGATGCAACTTTTGATTTCAAGGCCACCTCTTACACACTTGATTACATTTCTATTTCACATATCATTACACTCTAAATAAACAATCAAATCAACCATGAACAATTATCTTACAAATTAACATTTATTTATTATCTGTTGTACTATTTAAATAATTATTCAAGTCATATTCTATGTCCTAAGATTTATAGTTTTGTTTTTTCGCGCTCATTTACATCATTATCAATATCTATATCTATATCTAAAAGAAGACTATAAGACATTTTTTATTCATTTCTGTACATTTCTATTCCACACTCAGTAAGTCATCAGGAGTACGGATGTTAAAAGGGACATGACGAGTGTAATGAAGGAAGTTAGTCGCGGGGTGGGCCGAGTTACATCCGGTGAGTCAGAGTTGCAACAATAATGTTTTGAGTTTATAAAATGCTGCGGTACCCTTTTGCTACCTAAAGTTCATTTTTTTTTATTATTATTTTTAAAGATGAAAAAATTTTATTTTGATATTTTTCTATCATTCATGTTGTCTATCGATTTTTTGAATTGATATTCTTCTCATGTCAAAGATAATAAATGACTTTCCCCAGTTTACTCTATAAATTATAGATGCATTGAAATCTTTTTTTTTAATTTTTTTATAGTTCAATGGCATATAAGGGCGTGGACTTTTGGATTTTTATAACTTTTCTCAGTTTTTTGTGATTGATTGTATTTTTATTTTAATTTTGATTGAAATTATTAAACGTTTTAATAAAAAAATTGTTTTCAAAAGAACCTAAATTTTTTGTCAACTGTTTTTAACATTATCGATATTTGGAGTTATTTAAAAGTTTTTTTATTTTTTTAAATTATATGAAAATTATGTAATGAGATGAATTTTGGCTAAATCGATATGATTATTAAGTCGAATTATTTTTAGTGATTTTTTAAGAAAATAATATTTTTTTTTTTTTAAATAAATATTTTAGGAGCTATGGTAATTTTTACAATGACTAGATATTGAGCACTATTTAAGATACTATATCTTCACAAATATTAAAGATAACCTGATAGTGTAAAAATATTTTTTGTAGAAAATTTTTTGAGCTGCAACTCTAGAATCTTTTGATTTTTCCCAAAAATCGCTATTTCAACAATTATGACCATGATTATAATGACTAGATAATGATTTTTTTTAACAGTGCATGAGCACTACTTAAGTCACAATATTTCGTTAAGTATTGAAGATAGCCCGATAGTATGAAAACATTTTTGTTAAGGAATTTTATAAGCTAAAATTTTGGCCTCTTATGATTTTTTGATAACATTATTATTTCAGAAGTTATATTCATTCTTAGAGTAACTAAATAATGATTTGTCATTTAATTATAAAAATTTTCTCAACATAATAGTAATAAAAATAATTATTTCAATTTCGAGAATAATATCAAGAATTTTTCTAAAAACCATTAACCATCAATTAATTTTCTAAGTAAAAAAAAAAAAATACTTTCATATATCAAGAAAGCTGATGCTCAACAATGCGAATGCTACTAAATAAACAACGATTAATTTTCCTTGAAATACGAATTCGTTTAACCTAAAAAGTTTCTTAAATTACATCTATAAATTCTTACTTAAATTAAAATATCATGTACAACAAATGAAATTCAAGTATATATGTACAATTATAAATTGTCCATTTGAAAACTAAATGCATATCCTCAATACAATATTTTTTCTACAATTTAAAATTTAAAATTTGCAAATGAAGCGATACGAAGATTTTACTAACGTTTTTCCGTTTAATTAATAGTTCAATAAAAAATTAATGTTAAACCTTTAAATTATAAGGGGTAAATGATAAATCTTAAACTATTGTAAATATTGAATAAATAAACAAACGAATGACTATAATTATCATTATTATCAGTATCATCAGTATCTTTTGTTGAGTATAGGGTATAGGACACAGGGTATAGTTAGTAAGTTATTAAAAATAAAAATATGTAATTAATGTAGAGGATAGATCACGATTGTGAGAGTAAGAGTAGATATGATTAGTGATTACAGATCGAATATTCTCACGATCGCAAAGTCACTTACAAGTATAATAGTAACGAGAGTGAATATAAGTTAATGTAAATTAAGTATCTGACCCAGGAAGCGTACAATGAGAGTAAAACGAGAGTTTATGTGATACATATATATATATATATATATATATGTATATGCAGTACATACATACGTACTCTCTTTATTTCTCTGTTGCTCTCATTACATTACTTCACTCGCGTTATAAAAGTCTTTAGTCTTTACTCTTATGAGATTCTATCATACTAACGGATCTCTATAAACTTTAAACGCTGACAAAGGCGGTTACAGTGTAATCACTCTAGTATATACTTTTATGTATTTATATGTTGTCAGTGTCCTCGAGTATATTGCCTAATGGAGTTTAACAATGAGAATTTTAGCGTCAATCCTCAATGAAATTTTACTTTCTCCTCTTTCAATATTTCTAAGATTTTACTTTGCAAATTGCCTTTTCTTTTTTCTCATTGTCATTCAAAGCAATTAAATTCTTCACAAATCTCTGCTTAAATAATTATAATTATACACTCAATACTGGACGTGGAAATTTAAGAAAAAATTTTTCCCAAATTATTTTAATGTAAATTTTTAATTTGATCTGCAATTAAAAAAATTGAAAATAAAAATTTTTTAGATTAAAATTATGGGCGTAGTTTTATTGACTCTTTCTGTTTACCCTGAAAAATTGGCTGATTAAGTCCACAAATATTTACCCGGATAACATCAGCTTTTAAATGATTTATATTACGTTTCAGTGTAAGATCAATATTTTTTTTAAAAAACGTATAAATATAATACAGGATTGAAAAATATTGCATAAATAAAAACTTATTCTCATTAAGTAACTAATTCATTGATTTGATAAGGATATTATTCTACAATTGAAAGTTTATTATTTGACTACACGTAATAAGGTATTACGTTATTTTAATTTCTCGTGAAAATTCCCGTGAGCGACTGAATAATCAATTATTAATAATAGAAAAAAGTTTCATTAAAAGTAATGTAGCTAAATTATTTTTAGCACTTGTTACTCGTTACTAGTTACGGTTTTTTTTACCAATAATCCAATAATTCAATAAAAAAGTTTCGTTAGCTCCATTATATCGGGACGTCGACCAGCTGCGAGCTGTATTGTATTACAGAGTAAGAACTCTTTTTTATTTTTTAATATTTTTAGTTTCTGTTTTCGTATCGTGACAATGATGGCACGACACCGTCAAATATCGATTTCGTGTATATTTTTAAAATATCAATTACGGCATTCTTTTCTTCTATTGCAAAAATAATTATTTTTAATAAATTTTCACAATTAAATAACAAATCATTATTCAATTATTCTTAAAATGGCTATAACTCCTGAAATATTAATTTGATCATAAAATCATAGGAGACCAAAATTTTAGCTTACAAGATTTCTTAACAAAAATTATTTATATCGTCGAGTTATCTTCAATATTTTAGAAGATATAATAATTTAAGTAGTGCTTACATAGCTAAAAATGGAAAATTATTATCTAGTCACCATAAAAATGGTCATAACTTCTGAAATATTAATTTTTGGAAAAAATCATAAGAATCAAAAGTAAGAGCTTAAGAAATTTTCTACATAAAGTGTTTTTATACTATCAGGATATTTTCAATATTTTCGGAGATATAGTATCTTAAGCAGTAATTATTATCTAATCACTATAAAAATCACTTTAACTCCTAAAATATTTATTAAAGAAAAAAATATTATTATTATTATTATTATTTATCTTTTCTATTGACTAATTAAGTTAAAGTAAAAATTTTTTTAATAAAAAAAAATAACAACTAAATTAAAATTTTATTATTAAAAATACTCACTAATAATTTTATTAATCCAATCAGCCAAGTCCTCTTGCAATGGAATTAATTGTCTGTTTTGGGCGGAATGAATTCTCTCGTGATAAAACTCGTATTCTTCTTCCTCAGGAGAAGTTCTCGGTACATCAGCACGTGTGAAAGCTGATACCGAAGATGGACCCCAGCTACTTCTGTATCTGGTGTGTTGTGTCGGGGGAAAACGATTTGTGTATGACATGTTGCTGTTTTGTTTGTTAAGTTATCAAAAATAAATCCCGTTTATTTAAAAAAACTTCTAACAACAAACTCCTATTTTTCCTTTGTATCACTGACGTAATTTAAAACCTGCAAAAGAGAAAAAAACATAAATTAATAAGTAAACAAACAAGAGTATTTATATTAATAATGATTGTAAAATGAAACGATTAAGATTAAGATGTTTCTAAAATTAAAACAGTCTCTTTGACATCTCTCTTTATATAAATGTAATTACATGAGTGGACACGATTGTAGACGAATAAATGAATTAAAAAATAACGTATGTACGTGTATGTGGGTGCTACACTATTCACCATTATGTATTTATATATTTATATTATACTTATATCAAGTATGAGTACAAGTATAAGGGATAATACAAACTCACGTTTATCGTGTACAGCTCATGCACGAAATAAGTCTCAATGTTCTTTATATAATGTCACTTTGAATTTATTTCGCCTACGGCATGTTTATACTACATATTAATAGTTAAACAGAGATGGATTTATATATTAAGAGTTTTAGCGTGGGAATGTTTTTGTTATTGTCTCATATATTATTCGGAATAAGATATCATAATTAATATAAATATATACTTTATCATTGCGATTATTAATGAGTCCAGATATTTTAAAGGTAAATTTATTTATTTCTTATTCATGATTTTTTATTGCAGAAATTTTATTTTCTGGTTTTTTTAAATTATTTTTTTATTTTGTACTTCGGTAATGAATTAGATCTTATAAGATTTAAAATTAAGATATTATAATGTGGGTGGTCCACCGAAATTAATCACCTGTGATGCGATTGTTCATCGAGCATTAAATTTTATAGATATTTTTCTACAGTCAAAAAATTATAACAATATTAATATTAATTTGGTAGAAAAAATTCTTACAATTTTAAGTGGATGTTAACATTTTTATAAAATTAAAAGTATGATTTGTAAAAAATAAGATTTTAAAAACTAAAAATTGAATAACTAATTTTAAAAATTTATTAAGCTATTAAAAAAAAAAATTTTCAATTCAAATAAAAGTATGACTCGACATATTGAATATATAAAAAGTAAAGTACATTTTTTTTTACAAAAAAAAAATAATAATAAACATGAAACAAAATAAATAAATAAAAATTTATTAGCATGTAAAATTAGTGTTGAAATGCATAAAAAGAACTGGACCGTATCTATTATATGGCAAGCATGCCCAAGACGTGTGTACGGGTTTCCTGATATACTTGAATGAGGAAACGTGAGTAAGAATAAGAAGCCCATATACTAACACTAATATCTGCGATACACTAGCTACTTTCAAATAAACAAACTCTCGGATGATTAATAAAAAAATTAAATTAATTAGACAAAGAAAAGATAAATTCCTCGAGTAATTTCTAATTACGCTGCATTCGAAAATAATTAACAATTTCTATAAGTTTATATACCGCTAAAAGTTTTAAGCAAACCGTACATTTTTATACAAACGTCGTCCATTGCGTCATCAAATCATAATAAATTTTTTTATGATAATTTAGTTATAAATATATGAATTTTCAAATTGAAAAATTCTATAATATTATTATTCATTGCTACTAATAACAATAATTATTTTTTTATAAATATTAATTCCTTCATTTAAAGAAATTTAAAAAAAATGTAAAAAGTACTAATTACAAAGTAATTACTAAAAGTATATTGATGAGTAATAAGAAAAGAAAGAGAAAAAATAATAATACATTAAGCGGTGAAATAATTCTCCGTTACAAATATTATAATATTGAAGTAGCAATAAGACAGTTTTGGAGCGTGACCGCGAGACGTGCAAGTTTAAGTAAAGTAAAATAAAGTTAAGTGTTCTAGTATTTAAACACAGGAAGAAATTGCAATCATAGTTTTAGTTATAGCACACAAATTGACCATGTATGTGCTATGTGTGATGTGATCCGATGGGTTTAAAACAAAACGTGAGAGTATATTATTATAAAATAATAATAGTTATTACAATAATATACTCTTTTCTTCATTAAATTTATTTTATGTTTAGTTGTTTTTGTTACTTTTCGCTTACATTATTTTAACTGCAAATAAAAATAAAATAAAAAATTAGCGTTAATGTTTAATTGGCGATAAACTTAACAATGTATTTATATTTATATTTAATTGTTTGTTTGTAGACAAATAAAAATAAAATAAGAGAAAAAAAATTTTTTCCGATTGTTATTTAAGTACTTTAGTTATTTTGATACCGAGTTATCAGATTGAGATAATCTTATATTTGTATCTTAACTTATTTTTTTTAATGTACTGGAAAATTCAATGCTTGTTACTCTGTTAATGTAATAATACTTTTAAATATTTTAGAATATTTTTTTGGGGCAAAGGAAATAAAAATTTTCTTTTATTTGAATCTTTTGTTTCTTCACGGAAGAGGAATATCTTCGCGGTTAATGTAATAAATGATAGCTTTGCATGTCTCTTATTCTTCACTTTGGATATTCATAAAAAAATTCAATAGAATTTATTCAAGAAAGAAAATGATGGGACTGTTTTTAATGAAATAATATATGATTTAAAATTAATTTAAACTTTCAATACATTCAATAAAATTTTAAGTTGAAATTAAATAGTTTTATTTTTATAAAAATATTAATCAGTTTTTAAGCAACGGTATTATAAAATTGATAATAGTATTCAAACTTTAACATCCAGTCGTCATCATTTATTTATAGATCTTTTTTGATTTAAAGAAAAAATATAAAATTTTAGGTAATAACTTATTTTACTGTAATATCACAATAGGTGGAAGTAACTAAAATGATTTAGTGATATTGAAATTAATTGACAGTTAATTATTGATTAATTTTAAATTTAATAATTATAATAAAAACACAAAAACTACATAAGAGTTTTTGAAAATTGTTCAGTGCATTTTTTTATATTACGACTTCCGTCATAAAAAAATTAATAACAATTTTTAGAAAAATTTTCGGACATCTACGACAATGATATTTATAAAAAAATTGCATTAATAATTTTCTAAAATTTTTAAGTGTGGAATTTTTTCTTAAATTTTCTTTTAACTCCGAAAAATCTATTAATTTCAGTATCTTAGAATTTAAGAATTATTAACTAAAAACTAAACGTGTACACATTTCATCCAAATAAATCTTTCAAAATTTCTTTAATCAATTATTGACAAAAAAATCAACAAACAACCGTATTTTATAACTTAAAAACAAATAAAAATTTTCTATAAGAAAAATTTTAAAAATCATTTCATCGAAAAAAAAAAATCAAAATTTCTCACCTGACTATAATCCATTTCACAAAAACAAACGTTTACCACATGCAAAAAAACGTACCATCAAACAGAAGTTAACCAACAATTACGTCAATTACAAAGTCAATAAAAATAATTGAATACAGCACACGCGCTGGACCAATTTATATCAAAACATCAGCCGGACTTTCGGAAAGCACGTCCACCACTTGCACGGCGACTTACAGCAATGATTCCTTGCTCTTGCTCCTATCGAATATCTTCGCATCCACATCTACCATCCAGCATGTAGGATATTGGTTGTATATATGAATGTACGTATTATAATAATACAAATACAAATGCTCGTACCCACACAGAGCACAACACAGCTTACAGCTCCCGACTCTCGATACGTCTACTCTGGACTGCTCCCAACTACCAACTCATGTCTCCGTGACACTGCTTCTTCATCAGCCGCCCATATATTATATACTGCAAACTGCCATACACCGGCAATCTACAATGCATAATATATATATATATAAGTATATAATACATGTACGAATACATTTACATATAATGTCAACTATACTACTAACACACATAATATAACATGTAATATATAATACATAAAATATATGTACACATGCTGTTACTTGTTACAACTTACAACAAAACCTTTGCTTACTATTACTACTCTCTACTTACTCCTTACTCTCACGTATTTCTTGTCGCTTGTCTTTTGTCTTTTACATCTCTTTTATATACTCTCTTCTCTTCTCTTTTGTTGTTATTTTATTTTTTTTTATTTATACTCTTTCACCGCCTGATCACAAGTCACAAATCACAATACACTACAAACACAAAAACAAATATATATAGATGAATAAATACATATCCATACATTAATATATATTACCATAATATTGAATATTAACCGCCTTAAGTTCAATACCGCATCCTTAACCAAAAAAATTTCATTAAACTGAAAATATTAGATTACATACTTTTCATGATTTTTCTTAACAAAATAAATTATTTTTGTTGCAAAGAAAATTTATACAGTAATTTAGGTAATTATAAGTGAAAATTATTACCTAATTATAATTTCTGTTTTTAATGAAATAAAAAATGATCAGTGTCAGTTTATTAAGAATGGGAAAATTTTTCATGATACTGATGAAGTTAACAATTTTATACTTACATTTTAAAATTTTCTATAGAATAGTTTAGATAACCAAAAAGTACTTGGAAAAATTTCTCCTCGCAGTGCTATTAATTTCTTGTGAAAAAATTCGGCGATTATTTCGTTTCACCGTTCACAATAATTCAACACATAAAAATGACATTTAGAATTTTTTTTTAATATCATTAAAAGTAGAATGATTAAAGAAAAGGTTTCCAAATGTTAATTTTTCAATTTTTTATACAAAAAAAAATCAGGTGACCGTAGAACAAAATTATTTGAAGTACTCTTGTTAATTTGAAAATTTTTTAAATCTAAATTTCTCTATTTTTAATAATTAGTTACACTAAAATTAATTAACAGATATCTGATAGTTTTTATAATTTTTTTAGAAAAACAAATTATAAAGAAAAGTTTTTTAAAAATGTTAATGCAAAAACTTAAAAAAATTATAGATGATATTTTTGTAAAGTATTTCTGTAATTTTAATTTGTTTCTTCAAAAAAATAAAAAATTTACCAAATATCTACTGATCTTAATAACTTAATTCATACCACAAAAATCATCTTCAATCGCGCTCACTTTTTACAATAATTGCTGAATTCAGTATTTAAATTTATAAAAAAAAATCATAATTTAAATATTTACCAATTGATATATCACGCCGGTACACGTGTAAAATCACTTGAAACAAAATTACAGGTTAAAACATCACAACCTGTTTAAAAAAGAAGCCAATGTAGATAAAAGAATAATAAAAAATAAATAATAAATGATATGGATTACAGATGAAACTGAAACTTGACAGTAGCTGCTGCGTCTTCTGTTCACCCTCAACGGATGCGACGACCACCTTTTTGTACTTACTCAGCTTTGCTACATGTGTATTCACGTATAGTACTATATACTTATATTGTGCTGAGCAATGTGTAAGTATAAATATACTTATGTATTGAGTACATCTCGTTTCGCGAGATGTGCGCGTGTACAGAAGTCGCGTGATGAGGGATGAAAATGAGTGAGGGAAAGTAGAGAGTACGGACCAGTCCGCGTAGACGACGATCCCTCTTGGTTCCTTGATCAATACTACACCCTCGCTTTTAAATCTACGGTCCGGAATAATTTTGCATTCAATATTTTAATACATCTCTTTTTACTTCATTACGTTAATTTTCTAGATGCTTTTCATACTTGGTGAGTATTCATGTATTTAGAAAATTCTTTTAAAAGATTTGCATTTATTCATTTTATTTTTTCAGGTTCGCTGTCGGAAAACATCAGGATTTTTTTTTTTAAATACATTTTAAACATTTGTTTAAAATAATATTCTTCTGTAATTAATTTATTTTTTAATTTTGTATAAAAAAATTGTTAATCTTCTTGAAAATTTTGAAGAAAACAATTTTTCAATGACACTTTATTTTTAGATATTATCAAAATTATTTGTGGAATTTTTCTGTATAGAAGCAATAATGGTTAATTTATATTTCTTATTAATAAATTTTTCTGCCCTCCGGCCGGAAAGTGGCAACTTTCTGGCCACTGCGCTAAACAAAGTTGCCACATTCCGGCTACGTCGAGCAGAAAAATAGTATACACACCTTGGCCAGTAAAAAGTAAAGCCTCAGACCACATGTTTGTCAACCTCGGCTTCGCCTCGGCCAACAATTACATGTGGTCTGAGACTTTTCTTATTTTACTGGCCTAGGTATGTAATATATATACTATTACATTAATGAATTAATCAATTAATGAGTAGACATTAGTAAAATAGATGACTACGTAGTGACAAATGTAATAAGGTCTAAAAATATTTATCAGTTGGAAGATTATCATAATTACTTCTGAAGAATTTAATCTTTAAACTTGACTATATTATGTTCTAAATTTATTAATTACATTTTAAAAAATATATCTTAGTTAAAAAAATGTCTTAAATGTACTAAACATTTTTAATGTGTATTTTATTGATAATTATGAATCAGTATTAAACTTGTCCAATTAAATGAATATTGAAGGTTGAAAAAAATTATCAGTATAATGATAAGAAAATATTCAAATTTTTAATTGAATCTAAGGGTATATTTAATGTTAGATACGTTATTGACGGTTGATGATAGATTGGCACTGAGGATTTAAGTTGAAGGTTAATAAACAAAAAATATCAACATTATAAAAACGAAGGAGAAATATAAAAATAAACTGAAGTTATCGACAAATTAGTACACTAAGTACTTGTACGTATGTAAGTGTATGAATCTAGGATTAGATGTTGAATTTATCGGAAGCGACAGCGACCGGAGATGATGTTGAAGATGACCTTTGTCAGGTAACATGTTATATATTTAATATTCAGTAAAAAACTTAAAGAACTAAATGAAGAAAATCCTTTGGTGCCAGGAACTACCAGTTGGCGTGCTACGGCATAGTCCCAACCGCTGCCATGTACAGATCATCACTGTTATTGTTTTATTGATTTACTTGGAGAAATATCTATGCATCAGGACTCAAAATTTATTGCTAAATACTTATATTTATACCTTGCAAATTTATATTCTTGTAAATTTAATAAAAAATAATATTTCTTCTTATTACTTAAATAAGCATATGCACTGTTACGCGTTGCGTTCGATTTTATAAAATTTATTCTTATAGTTTAAAAAAGGGAATAAAAATTTCATTTTATTAATACATTTTGAATAAAAAAAAAAAAAGAATAAAAAAGTTTTCTTCTTAAGTGTCTCGTTCGACTCTTTAAAAGAGACCTGGGAAATTTCTGCAATTATTAGTCTGGGCCAGATGAATTTACTTGCTAATTATGGTATTGAAATCCAGAACAAATGGGTAAATAGGGTTTTTATTGTTCGTAAACAGGATCGCTTGAGGACTTAAGATAAGGAAATAATAGTACTTATTTTTCAAAGAAATAGTTGAGTAAATTTGAATAATGAATGTGAACAATAGTTAAAAAGGATCTATACTAATTTAAACAATAATTTCTGAAATAACTACATCATAGAAATTCAAATGTTAAGATAATTGCATTTTCTATTAGTAAAATTTAAAAAAAATGCTCATATAAATAATAGTCAAACAACAAATCCAACAATTTGACATTTATGTTGAATTTTTAACGTAACAACATAATTATTGTTTATATTCATATATATCGTCGTCTTCTTCTGTATAAATAAAAAGCAAACACTGTTTATTTGTTAAGGGGGAACACCACTGTGACGATCGAAAAAAAGAGGTGATTTTCAGGAATTTTTTTGACAGGGAAAATAAAGGAATTTGGGAATCGGATTTTTTTTATTTTATTAAGGGTACATTAAAGATTATTACCCTAAATTTTTATTAAAAAATATTTAATTATTACAAAGTTATTAACAATCTCGTCGAGCACTGGAGAAAATTTCCCCCCTCCACGGTCGGGTCGATAAATCAAAAACAAAACATCTGAAATTAAA